AGCAGCAGCAGCAGCAACAACAACAACAACGACAACAACAACAACAACGACGACGACTACTTCTGCTGCTACCGCTACTGCTACTGCTACTGCTACTGCTACTGCTACTGCTACTGCTACTGCTGCTACTACTACTAGTACCACTACTACGACCATCACCAGGGGAGACCCATCCATTGGCAAAGGCCGTCGAGCAACTTTTGCGCTGCTTCGGAAACAACTGGACCAGTCACCCCTCACAACCCCCCCTCCCCCTCTGCCCGAACCTCACTCCAACGACATGTCCTGAAAGAACGAATCGTGCGTGATTGGGTAAAACAATGCATAGGCTTCTACATGGTTGTGCTCGGCTCTCTCCTTGCAGTATGTTTTCTTCCACTTCGCAAGGAATTCAGTCTGCTGCTTCTTCATGAGCCGGCTCCACCTGGCATAGAGAGCCCAAGTTTGAGAGGAAGGCTCTTCTTTAAGGAATCTATCGGAGCTTACGATACTTCCCCTCCTGATCTTGAGCTAAAGTTGGCCACAACAGGCGGGACTGGCCCCTCTCGCTTGAGCAGGAAGAGCCATACAGGCCACAGCCTGCTTTGCTACCGCACAGATCACTCTCAAGTCGCTATCACCTCGTCTCATTGCAGTTGGTAGGGGACGACTGGTTGAAGGAGTTTGGAGTTCTGAGTTCTCGCGCGGAACCAAGGGCAAGATCCTGATGGCAAGCCGGAGGGAGTAGATTGTATTATACTATGTGATGTTATATTATATCAATTTATGCTAAATCTTTTTATATTATACTATATTATATTAGATTATATCATATTATATTAAGTAACAAGTGATACTTGCCGGCCCGCTTTTCAGAGCATTCAGCTGACAGCATGCTGACTCCGCTTCCGCTGCTGGATAACGATAGTTTGCATGCTCCAAAACGGAAGACGTTCACGAAACATCAAGCTAATAGTTTAAATGAAACTCAACATAATTGCAGCCACGAAACGAGTGACAAGCTTTTGTGAGCCGATGGGCACCAAATGCGTTTTATCGGACACCGAAGAGCAGAAGACACAACTGCTGCCACCGCAATGTGTGGGAAATGGAGCTGAGCCGTCGACTTGAGCACCACGGGGCAAAATCCCCAAGCGGAGTGCATCAGTCCCATGGCTGTCTCGGCAAATCAAGGGCATGGTAAAAACCCCGTCAACGGCCCAACTCAAGCCACCTCAGACATGAAGTCTCTGAAGAGCGGCACACTCATTAGCACCTCAGGGACAGCTGCTTGTGCTCATTCTGAAACCATCACTTATATGTCTGCGGTATTAACCGCACCTGCGGAACAACGGCCGTCACAAGCCGGTCTGTCCAGTAGTAGTAGTTGGCCTTGGGTCTTCGGCAGGACAAATCTAAGCATTGCCTGGATGTTAGGAAAGAGTCGCAACTCGGATCCACACACTCCCATCGTTGATGTTGGCGCCTGACACATTGAGTTGGGAGAGTCAGCATCGGTCATGGCCAGAGGTCGACGGCCTGTCATCTGTGTGAACCAAGTTTGGTGCTGCTCCTCGAAGGAAAAGCTTGGAGATGCTTGGAGCGACTCTACGACACTGGGCAGGAGCCCTTAGAGTCCCCGACCGCACGGCCGCCGAATCCCAGGAGGTAGGCGATGTTCAGCAGCGTCTCGCCGCCTGCGGAGTCTGCAGAGTCTGCGGAGACCGTGGAGTGCGAGGCTCCCAGGCAGAAAGCTCCCCGAAAAGCAAGGAAACGATGCCGATGCGCCGAAGATGATGCAGAAAATGCGGAGGAACAGCGCTGCCTCGGAGAGTCACTCATGGCCGCAAGCTGAGTTCGGTTGAGATTTGGGCAACTTCTTTCTCATTCTGGCGAGTTGTGTCCGAGGGCTGCGCATAAAGGGAATACTTCAGCAGGGCGCCGCAAGCTGAATGCGCCTGGGCCCTTGCCGCGTCATTCATGATTAAGTTTTACGGACGCTTGTGACTTATGAGCAGCAGCAATGTCTTCAATGAACTCTCCGGCTGAGGCCGCGGCTTGTGAAATTCTAGGAGCCGGAATCTTCGTCCCCACATGTAGACAAGGTACTCGCCCTTTGCAAACCGAGGGTTGCACGGCACGTCGCGAAACAGCAGTGAAGCTGAGCTTTCCAAGTCTTGGCCCATGATTGCTTCCCCATCTTGTGGAACCGGGACTAGAATCCAGAGCAAGCTGGGCACCGTGCCCAATCTTCCGCAGGCCGTTTCCGCCGATGTGTGGGTGGAGCCCTGCAAGCACGTGCAGGTTTGGGTGCTGGCGCTTCGTTCAAATCCAGATGTCTTGCGTGTCTAGCGACTACGTGTACAGAGTATTGCACAAAGAGACGGTCACATGCGAAATTGCTGGAACCGAGAAGGGGCATACAGATAGCGGAGGTTCGATACTGAAAAAAAAGGTCCCTTTCATCTGGCATCAACTAGCGCATCCGCCTCCGGTACCGACTAAGGCACCGACAGCTTCACCGACGTATCTGCGATCCCTAGCTTCTGGGCAAACTTGATCTGCTGGACCATCTGGGCAGTCAACACGGATGGAGGAAGACATGGTTGCTTCTACTATTTAAACAAGATGCTGCATGTGTCTTCTGTAACCTGTCCTGCTTAAGCTCTTCATGCCAACAATGTTGTTGCTTGGATTTTGGTGGTCATCATAAACCACAGACCTGAAGCTGTCCGAGGATCATGCTTCCGGGGTGCGTCCATTCATAAGATCCATCTCTAAACGCAGATAGGCTTCCCGGGGCGTCACTGTTCATACAGGCCCAAGAAAGATCAATGGATGCTTTTGTCGCCGGGGCTGAACCGCTGCATCAAAGTGCCAGATCGAGCTCGAATTTACGTTGGGTCTACAAAAAAATCAGGAAAGGCAAGGACAACCACACCACTGCATATTGCGGTCTCGCCCTCGTGATTCGATTGAAGAAAGTGCAGGATGGCGCTGCAGTTTTGGGCCGTACCGCAATGACCGCCTCCACACTCTGGTGATGCACATGTTGCACATGATGGCCGCCACGAGGCCGCGACCGTGCAGCTGCACGCGGCCATCGCAAGTTGCCAGTCCGTGTGCTCAATGAAAGGCCCGGGAAGCCGCTTGGGCGCTCGGCTGTGTGCTGTGCTGTAGCATTCGCGGTCGCAGCCGAGGTCGCTGTGGTGAGAACACTGGCGCCGTACTGGTACGAATATCAACATCCTCATCATGATATCATCATCAGAATGCGACGAGGACCTTACAACTTAGAAGCGGCTGAGGACCGAGGGACGGACCCTGGATAAGACCTGCAAGATCTTCGTGATGGTGTGATCAGATCCTGCCCAAAGGCTTCATCTTCTGATTCTGTTTGGCGTTAACACTGTGACCAACATGTTCTGTCTGCATATTTTATGCTCACTATTGCTTCACGTACCGCGGAGTTGCCAGAGCCTTCTAATCTCTCGTAAAGGATCTTGTGCAACCAGAACCTAAGTCGAGTCCAAGCTCCGGTGCTGGTAGTGGCACTGACCATCCGCCGCAAAATGCGAAGGTTCTTCACGGGTCCACAACAGTTCGCACCACGCTCCGAGAGTCCGGCTCTACACTTCGCACGATGTACGCCAACTGTCAAAGGCAGCTTCGGATGAGTTTTTGCATGTTTAGGCAGGCATAGTCCCTCTCTTGGAAACGTTGCTTGTAGCCTCTCAACTCTTGTCGCTACACGGATACTTCGTACTCGTCTTGGGACTTGAAAGGATTTGAGGTTCAAGCCTTGCGGATTGGGGACGACGTATGCATGACCGACATGCGGAAGGCACAGGCAGGAGGACAGGGACAGGGTGACGGGAGGTTCCCATGCGCAGTGCGCACTTGAAGCTGCCTGCATGTGCGGCACGTCTGCTGAGCCCCAGGCGACAGCATAGACATGCGCAGCCACAGGCGTAATGATAATTCGCATGAACCTCGACATGCCAAGCCGCAGAAAATTCCGAGCCTAAACCGTCAGGGCACGGCTGTGTACGAGATGTGCCCTCTGCCAGAACACAAAGACAAACGCTTTTTTTGGGCGGCCCTGGCGGCCCTATGCAACTCTAACGCAGCACGGCTCCAAGCACGTCTCTCACGTCTTTGAATAAACCGAGAGGAGCTGAGACGAGGGTCTTGCACGTTGGCAGCCTCACTAAACGGATAATAAAGCGGCGGTCCACACCAAGTCTGGGAATTTGTAGGAAGGTAGGGCTCTCAGAGGGAGGTGGGGACGTGGACTTTAAAACCCTGTGCCACGTTAACTGCTCGGTCTAGTCGACCCTTGGTCTGCCCACCCTTAAACTAACACGGGACCAAAACAACAGTTCCGTTCTATACAAGTCGGATGGGATCGAAGACTCTGCTCGAAAAGCTTCAGGTGTCCTTTGTGGATTGCTTTGTGAGAAAACGGACTCCTGGTTCGTGAAGGTGTGCGCTGTGGGTGCAAAGTACTTCTGCGGTAATATGTGCTTTTGAGGTGTAGGATTTTCCTGAAGCTCTGTGAGTGAAAAGCTTCGAGTCGGTGGTAGTCGTTGGAGGTGACAGCAGCGGGCTCTAAACCGTAGGTCGCCAGTGGAATGAAGACTGCATTCTAAACACGCCGCTTCCACTACAATGTGGGTCAGTGTTGCGCCAAAACTGGTGTAGTGCGTGGAAGCGCTTGCCGGGCCTGGGCGAGTCTTGTAGTAATTGTCTCTAAGTGTGGAGCCGTCGTTGCTGAGGGTAATCCCAAGGTGCTGGGCGTGCGTTTCGATGGTGGGTGGAGTGCCATCTTGGACGAAGACAAGCTAGCTTGTTTAAACTCTCTGCCAGGAGTGACAGCTGTAAACCCCTCAGAAAAACAGAACAGGACGCCCTGGTGGCGTGTATTTTCGTGTATAGGATCAAGTCTACAGAAAGGGACACTGTGGGGCTTTTTTTCCACTCATGTAGTTTTGTGTGTTTTACTTGCATCGGTAGTTTTGTATGTTTTAGTTACATCTGTTCATATTATTGTTGATCTTATGGCTGTTATTTTGAATTTAAACTCTGCACCGCGAAGGTGTTGGACAGTCTAACTACTGGGACCAGTGTTTTCGTCGGAGAGCTCCGTGCCTCGAGCGGGGGGGGG